CTTTCTTTCTTTCTTTCTTTCTTTCTTTCTTTCTTTCTTTCTTTCTTTCTTTCTTTCTTTCTTTCTTTCTTTCTTTCTTTCTTTCTTTCTTTTTCTTTCTTTCTTTTTCTTTCTTTCCCTTCCTTCCTTCCTTCCTTCCTTCCTTCCTTCCTTCCTTCCTTCCTTCCTTCCTTCCTTCCTTCCTTCCTTCCTTCCTTCCTTCCTTCCTTCCTTTCTCTCTCTCTCTCTCTCTCTCTCTTTCTTTCTTTCTTTCTTCTTTCGTAAAGGCAGAGATTGGTCAGTCTCTCTGGACTTTCAGCTGTGTCTTTACAACTCATGGACTCTATAAGGCTATATGTCAGTTTCTACTCTCTGGGCCATAACCTGGAAACCCTCTTAAGGGAGTAACTTGTCTCAATCATAGGGTTCATCTCATTTGTTTCTCTTCTCTCAGGGATTATTGTTTTTTATTGCCCGATGTCCAATGTCTTGAAAACCATTGTTTCAGGCCGGGCGCAGTGGCTCATGCCTGTAATCCCAGCAATTTGGGAGGCCGAGGCAGGCAGATCACTTGGGGTCAGGAGTTCGAGACCAGCCTGTTCAACATGGTGAAACACCATCTTTACTAAAAATACAAAAATTAGCCGGGTGTGGTGGCATATGTCTGTAATCCCAGCTACTTGGGAGGCTGAGGCAGAGAATCACTTGAACCTGGGAGGAAAAGGTTGCAGTGAGGAGTGATGGCACCACTGCACTCCAGCCTGGGCAACAGAAGGAGACTCTGTCTCAGGAAAAAAAAAAAAAAAAAAAAAGAAACCATTGTTTCATATATTTTGTCTTGTATCAACTGAGAAAGAAAATCTGGACTCTACTACTCCATCTTTCTTGTAGCAGAAATCACAGCATGTATTTTAATCCTATAGTAACCTCATTTTACAATGAATATTTTTTATCACTATTTTTTTACATGCAATACTATAGCTCAGAGAGGTTTAGTTCTAAAGTAACTGAAGGTAAAAAGCAGGGTTTAAATCAAGGTATTTTTCTTTCCAAGGTCTGAGTTCTTTTCACTGTACAAGGTTGATGGGGTCATCTGAAAGGCACTGAGGCTGGGTTTTAGGCCAGTCTCTGACTTTAAAGATCTGTATGATCTTAGTTAAGTCATGTAAATTTTCTATGCCACAGAACCCAAGAGAACTTTCAATTGCTTTGCCCCAGGGCTACTCTTTAGGCCAAGGCTGTCTTTTCTTCCTCTTTTTACAGGCCCCATAATTTCAGCCTGGTTTCCAGTTCTCTTTAAAAAGATAACCCTATTCTATAAAGTTGTTCTCCTTTAAAACTTCTTTCTTCCCCAAGTGCTTAGTGCAGTGTCGGGCATGCAAACAGGTTCTCAATAAATGACAGGTGAACAAATAAATAAGAGATGCTAGCATTTTCTCCATTTACCTCAGATAAGACAACTGAAAGTCAAGGGAGGATTTACCAAATACATTAGAAATGAAAACTTAATTACAAATTTGGCCTGCTGATTCTAGTTCCAGTGCTCTTCTCACTATACCCCTTTCTCTCAACAGGCTCTTTATGGACCAATAACATTTGTTTTAGCTCTTGGATTTACCTGTCAGTAGTAAGCAGCAAGGTAGCAGAAAAAGCACCAACTTTAGCATCAGATAAAGCTTACTTTGAATTCTGGATTTATCACTTAAAAGACTTGTGACTTTGGGCAAACTACTTAACCTCTCTGACCTTCAGTTTCCTTACCTATTTATTGAGGACTCCTGGGTTGTTGCTTTGGGGCTTCTGAGTGATTATGGGTAAATGTGCCTGGTACACTAAATACACGGGGGGGATCTATGAGTAGCCATATGGTCCTCATTTCTTTCATGATGCATCCTCTCATTTTAGCTGAAGCTTTTCCTCCATAAAATCTCTCTTTATTATTTCAGACCCCATGAATCTACCTTTTCTCTGAACTACTTCAGCATCTATGATTTCTTCTGTCCAATTTAAAATTAATTATGTATTATTTTATATTGTTAGTCTCAGTCCCTGACTAGATTGGAAGCTTTTGGGGGCCATTAGACTAGGTCTTAGATCCCAGT